CTATGCTTTTAATATGTTGAAGATATTGCAAAACCATCCATTCTTAACCTTATGGTGACAGGGCCTGATTTATTTGTGATGTAATATTATGCAACAGTCTAGATTTTGTGGCTAGGCCTAAACTGTGTACAGCTGACCCACCCACTGGGAGTGATTACGCATTTACACATCGTAGGCTGACAGCTATGGCCACACCCGTCATTTAGGATTTAATGTGTATATTTTTTGTTGTCGTTAGTGGTGCACAATCTTCTATATGCATATTTTCATATCGTGTATGGTAAAAGTATTTTACGAACATTCTAACTGGTAAATTTGAATATTTTATGTGGATGTAGTTACAAATTCATTACCACTTGTAAACATGGAGTTGGGCTGTAAGATTTATTGTGGATTTTTTCCATGCTTATGTAGGTTAGAACCCCCAGTAACTTAATGGTCCAAATAAGTCCTCATGCTTGAAATGGAATGTGGAACTAGCAGTTAAACAGTCATTCAACCATAAACTAATTTTTAGGCATGGTTTTGAATATGCCAGAAATGGCTTTTGTCGTGGAAAATGCTGTAAAGATTCAAGGGTAAGGGATTTTTTTTTAAATTGTGGATTTTATTGTATATACTCATTTTACTCTAACCCCTTTTGAACATTGAATTATTGTGCATCTTAAAAAATATATACGTATATAAGTACTGTGATATGAAGAACTGTACTATAACATGAGTACAGTGAAAAAAGAGACAGCATGACAAATATCATAAAGAATGATGTCTAGTTAACATTCAATAGGCACATCTTTATCAAGATTATGTATTTCTGATGGAAATACAAGAAGTGAAATAATAATTACAAATCTTGCATCTTGAATGGTTTTCCTTCATGGCCTTTTTTCACAGTAGAATAAAATCCAGGGAGAGATATCTCAGATTGCCAACTACAGTAGTAGTTGGCAATACCTGAGTATAACAGTTATTTTCTTCTAGTGAGAGTGACAAATTTTCTTTTCCACTGCAGCTTTGGAAGGCCCGTATCACTGGAGGTTCTGAGGAGCTTGGCACCAGCTACAATAGCATGAAATACACATTGAATGACATTGGTATTGGACTAGACCACAAGATCTTACAAAACATGGCTATCTGGGAGCCAAGGACCTTCAGGGTAGGTGGTGATGGAAGTAAAATCATTTAAATTCCTGTGAAATGTTTGGATTCATAATAATGCCTTTGTTGTGTGATTCTAAAATAGCTGTGTTTTTTTACTACATTATTGAGTTTTTAAGACCTTGTGACAGATAATGTGATGACGTTTATGCTCATGACTTCCCTTAATTTTTTTTTTATACAGGGTCTTGCACTGCTTACCAAAGCAAAGGAAACTGAGAAGGGCCTGAATAGTCTGGATGGACCTTCAGTATCAGGTGTTGTGACACGGGGAATGCTTTAAGATGGAAGCTCTGGGTGTTGCATATGCACAAAGTCTTGCATGCATTGATATGTACATTAGACGTTTTTTTTTCACAACTGTTTTATCATCTTATTACTATGCTTCTCTTAGGTAACTGATGTATATGTATATGAATTTAGAGTTTCTCTTGGAACTTCAATATAAATGTGTAATGATACAGTGCCACAATGTATAGAAAATGTTAGCATCAAGTACTTCCATGGGAGCTAGTCGATATGAAGATCTCATCAGATTACTTGAATCAAAGGCAAACTATGGCTTTTTGTGTAAGTATCTGTAAAAAAATCTTTGCAGGAATGGGGATTCTATAGAAACCTTACATTTTTTAAATGGTCAATATTTGGCTGATTATGATTTTTTTGTAGATTATTATCATGTATATAGTTGTATTCTTTTGTAAGTAAATGATACATATTTGATTTCTTCAAATAAACCTTTCCTTTTTCTTGACCTCATGTGTTTGTTTTATACTTTTAAATTTGGACAGTAACAAAGTGTGATGTAAGTTTGATATATATCAGCACTAAAATTGAGATCTTGCAAGTTGTGTTACTATGTTGACATAGTATTATTTGAAAAAATATTCAGGATCATGGTATGTGTATCATTCCAAAAATTACACAGAAAAAGCAGAAAAGCCTTCCTAAATATTCTTAGTTGTTCAACCTATCTACTTCTGTAATGCAAAGCAGTAATGAGTAAGAGTAGTGTATGATAAGTGCTATTGGCTCCTTAAAGATGGGATGCCTAGAACACCAAATTCACTGAAAACCACTATATCAGGGTTTTTACAGGCTATTAGTCAGTATAGTTGAGACACCACTGTTGTTAATTTTCCCAGCTTGATTACTTTTCAGTGATATCTGTCTCATCTAAGATAAAAATAAAGTGGTTTAGGTAATAGACACATTATGGAAGCTTAGTTTACGAAGATTATTCTTGAACTGGTTTCAGTAGGAATGGGAAAAATTCCATTATGATTTATGGTAATGTGCACGAAATTTTATTGTGCATCATAAACTAATTAATTATCATTACAATCATGAAAAATATTTGACAAAGACAGGGTTATCGAGGACAAAAAGTTGCAGTTGTCAGTACAAGAAATAATCTGCAGGCATGAACAGTAATGACACAAAGGAAAGAAATTGAGGAAAGTGCTCCTGAGTTTCAGCTTTCATCTTGAGTCCATATCGGTAAATACAATGTCTGGTAGGGGTTTAGAGGGCAAAGCCCACCATCAACCCTCCCAACAAGTATGCCCAGTCAAGGCAAATTAGATTTGAATAAATCTTGTGAGACCATATCTGGTGACTGCATCTGTACTGTAGTTACCAAAGACAGTGACAAGCATTGTTTATATGCAAATGACAAAAATTAAGTATACTTTGGCAGCCATTCAAAAATGAATCTGGCAGCCTTTGCTGTGGTTATCAAAGTTTTTTGTTTTTTTTTATTAAAGTAAAACAAAGGCTTGGGTATTGTTGCCAGATACTGTATAGGGTTTCTTTTATCATAATACTGTGTCATATGCATTTGTAGATAATGAGTTAACCCATACATAAAATATTTCTATATTTGCAGGGCATATTAAATTGGACTCATCCTGCAACTTTAGCTATTGTCACCAGGGATGGGTTGTAAAATACGTGCTAACAATTGTGTTTATACAGATTCCTCCACAAGTGTTTAAGCACTAAGGAATCAATTACTACCTCACCTGTTTGCCCTTTTCCTTAATAACATTATAATAGCCATAATGTCAATAATAAAACCATTGATTATAATAACACAAGGAATAAGAAATCCCCAAAACTCAAGGAAATGGGAAATCTGGTGAGGTTACATAAGCTTTCTAGTTGGAGAGCTTGGTGGACTTTAATCATAATGTTGAGTACAAAAGGTTTGAGGACATAATTCTATTAGAAATCACCTACCACAGCCCTGGGCTTTTGTCCCTAACGGGCCCTAAGTTGGCCCAAAAATCCATTTAAAGAGTAATATCGAGTACAGTATCTGTTTCAAGATAGTTTCATTTAGATCACCCCTTGAGCTAAAATAATGCAACTTAAGACATGAAAATGTCTGGCATTATAAATAAAGAGGCCTACTTGGTAATGACCAATTAAAGTTTTAGTCATACTTTCAAATACAGCGAATGCCTTTGTGAAGATGTGACTTTTCCTGGGGTTTGTGGATAAGATGGGGTATTTGGATCCTTAGGGATATGAGGACCCTCAAAACTGATTTTGTATAAAAGAAGGATTACACATATTTTGACTAATGCTATAGATAAACCATTTTTTCATAGGAACATAAATGTAATTTAAGACACCAAAATGTCTGGGGTTGGTAATTAAGGTGCTTACTTATTAACAATCAATTCACATTTTAATTACACTCAAGTACAGCAATATTTTTTTGCAAAAGATACCTTTGTTACTCCAGACACCATATCTGCAACTTTAAAGGTGTTTTTCCTGGCATTTGTGGATAAGATGGTGGAGGTACTTGGATCCTGAAAACTGATTTTGTATAAAAGAGGGACTAGACAAATTTTGATTGATGCTATGGATAAAACGTTATTTCAAATGAACACAAGTATAATTTAAGACACCAAAATGTCTGAGATTGGCAATTAAAATGCAGACTAATTAATGACCATTAACATTTAAATTGCATTTTCAACAGAAATTCTTTTTGCAAAAGATAATTTTGTAACCAGAGACACCTTATCCACAACTTCAGTTTTTTTCTAGGGTTTTTAGATATGATGCCTGTTATTATCTTATCATTTCTATTTCAGGACATAGCACTTCTTGTGGGGTACAGGTATCCATAATACAAAGAGTTGGCTTGCTATAGTAAATAGCTAAAAGATCTTCAAAGTGGATGCAGATATTATGGACAGAACATTGGAATTGCAACCGGAGCATGGACTTGATAATTCTGTTGATGAAGGGAGTTTGTCTAGTGGCCTCATGGCTAATGCCGGAGAAATAAAAAAAATAAAGGTAGCCTAAGAAATTCTCAAATCTAGTATTTTTCCACTCTCAAGGAGCCTTGTTGGTTCAGTGGTTATAAATACGCAATCCTGGACAATTAACAGGCATCTTATCTACAACCCTAGAAAAAATTGCATCTTAAGTTGTGGAGAGATAGAAAAAGAGAGAAAGAGAAAAAAGAGAGAGAAAGAAAAAAGAGAGAAAGAAAAAAGAGAGAGAAAGAAAAAAGAGAGAGAAAGAAAAAAGAGAGAGAAAGAAAAAAGAG